GAGGGGAGCTCCTTGTTTAGCGATAGTTAACAAAGATGCATTTTAAACATGCGTTATCTCCCATCAGCCCAATGTGGACGGAAACCAGAAAGGGGCTAATATCAGATGGAGAACTGCGAGGGGGTTGTGCAGCCAGGAAAAAGGCCGAAACAACCTCCAGGTTCAAAATCCTCAAGTAAAAAATAAAAAAATAAAAACCTAACAGAAAATGTTCTGATTGTTTTTGTTTAGTTTGGTTTGTATTGTAGATAAAGGATGTTCGTCATCATAGATCCAAAACTTTAAAATGATTTTGCTGTGGTAAAACAAAGGCAACTTATTTTGAAATTCTTTTGGGCTGGATTGAATACACACACTTTCTGTTTGTGACTTGAGTCACTTTCTTTCAAAATGCTTCTATATTTAGCCAAGTATAATAAATCAAGTAAAAATTTGGATGTTAATCCTCTCATTAATCATTTATCATGATTCATTTCTTGTCATGATAAGAATTTGGATTTGGGTGCAGCAAAGTTATCTTTTCAGGAAAAGTCTCTGGATAAATGTGTATCTATCTACATTAAGGGTGGGTGATAAGGACTTAAACTTTTATCTCTATAGTTTGTGGTAACAATTAAGATTATGATAAAGAAAAATGTATTTCTTATTTTTTAAGAAACTGTATGATTGTGACAGCAGAACACAGCATTAATAGCACCACGAACACAAAACATTGTTCTTGAAAAGCATTTGTTTTAAATAGGCTTCTTCAGGATGCCAATGAGTTTTTTAAAAAGTGTGATTTATATCACTAAACTGCACACAGTAACAACATTTAATCATATTTTCACATGTACTTATATTTATTGAAGCTCTCGTGGAATAAACAGAGAAAATAGCAAAAACTGTCAGTTTAGTTTTTTCATTCACTATCAATTTATCATGACAACAATAAATTATTATTATTTTTTTTACAATATGATAAAAGCCCACCCCAATTTTACTTATTATGAAGGTTTGGTAATAAAAACATCAATATTTTGCGTCATTTTCCATTGTAATATAATAATATCGGTCATAATTTCACTCTGATTATAAATAAAAAGTCTCTGTCTGCATTAACCGCCTGTGCTGGACACATCTGATTTGTATTAGTCTTGAACTGCAGTCGGGGGCCAGAAAAAAATCACACCAGGGGCCACAAATGGCCCTCGGACCACACGCTGGACACCCCAATCTAAAATAACCTTGCTAGTTGGAGCCAGTGGCTGGTAGAAAGGAAACGCAGTCTGCCTGTTAGTCTGATTCAGCAAAGATGCTCATGTGCTGTGACTTGCTGTCAGACGTGACGTCCTCCGAGACGACGCCATGTTTTGGGGTCTTTTTTCTTGGTTGCGCAAAGGTGTGCGGACGGCGGCTGTGTGGGCCGTTCTCATCTGTGCGGCTTATTTACGAGGTGTGCGGTGCGCCGGGTGTATCCTTCGGCGAGGCATCTCCCGCTGTCACAACGGCGCATTGCGCTTATCTGCGTGTTTGTCCGTTTGTCAGCACGCTATGAGCAAATGTCTCTGTGTACAGTATGCATGTGTGATTGGAGCTGGCAGCATGGGTGATGAGAGGGGTAAGACCGGAGTGCGTGGCCTGATTTTCCCAGTGTGCTGATGAATCATGACAGCTGCAGGATTGTCTGCTACTGCTGTTCGTCTGCTGGTCTGTACCGGATCACAGTTTGCATTCATGGTAGCCTCTAAAGTTTTACCCTCGCGGATCCTAATCAGAACAATCAGATTTTTCTCTCTGGCTGCTGCGCTCTTCTCCATCTCCTCAAACATGCGTACTGGAATCAGAGCATGGACTCCTCGTTACACAATATAGGCTAAATTTAACACAAGCAATGGCTCATATGGAAACATTCTAGCGTTCATCCATGTGGTGATGCACAATGATCAAGGCTGTGAAAAGAAAATCAAAATGCAGGGGGGCCCTTTTGCACATTTAGTGCTGCCAAACAGAAAATAACCCACAAACCGCTGCCATAAATATAACGAGCAGCACCGAAAGCAGCGAGGTCTGCGATATGGGCTCGGTTTTATCAATGCCTCCTGACAGATGGAGTCGGGCAGCTTGTGGGAGCAGGAAGCCCTTTCGGCTGCGCTCCTGTGGAGATGTGTTTGTGAAGAGCAGGTAGGGCTCCATTTTACACTGAAGCAGAAAGTGTTTGAATTTCAAGAAGGTAGATGTATTATCTAAAACTTAAAAGGAAGAGAAAGACAACCATAAAAAAACCCTAACAGAAATAAATAATGATGATGTAACTTTTAATGCTACATAAGGCTGCCCTTTAACATAACATAAACATCAACATATCACAGAGGAAAATGCATTTTCTTTCTCTGTGATATAGAAATAAATGGTTGGCTCTTTAAAATTAAAACAAATTTCAAAGAGATTTTTTTTAAAGATTATACAACATGTGGCTCTAAAGGAATTTTATTTAGCTGAATAAATGGTTCTTTGAAATATAAACATCACAGACTCTTAATAAAGTTTAATATATTCTAATGTAATCGTTTGGTATTATTTCTGTAGCCTCTTAAGTGAGAAAAGTAACTTGTAGTTTGCAGTGCCAGAGAATCTCCCAGTAAATTCTTGCAATTTGGAAGCAGTATGGCATTTTTATATCGTAATTGTACCTTAAATCTAAATCTAAAGTTAGAAGCCTTAGACTTTTCGATACAGAACACTGAGAATTATAACATTTTCTTTGGCTCTTTTATGGAGTTTTCCTCACTTAGAAGAAGTCATTTAGTTAAAATGTTGACATTCCTCTGGCATAATGAACCAAAATGCATGCCAAAAATGTTCTATTTTCACATTTTCAAAATGTATTGAATATTCTAAATTACTAGTAAAATTACTGTGGAAGTTAATAATTTTAAACTTCAATTTTTAAAGGTCGTTAACAATACAAAACTGCTGTTAAATGTAAAAATGCAACCATTTCAACCATGTGACAAAAGACTAGAAGACATGTAAAAATAAAAAGGTGCAACATGCATCCTGTCTCAGTGTGCATACCCCAAACTCAGGCACTTATTAAATCAGTTTCAGTCTTCACCCTGATTAGATACACACCTAACGTTGATTATTGCAGTTATGTTGTGTCCGTAGTTAAGGTAAGCAGTTTCACTGTAATTTTCCAGACATTTTCTCTTTTGAATCATCTAGCAAAAGCCAGAGGCAGAGTGGTTACAAAGGATGATCTCATTGCACACATCAGTGAGGAAGAAGTCAACACCGTGGCACGATCTCCTGCCTGGAAAAATCAGTAGGATTGCAAACCAGCAGGGATTTACCCCCTCAAAAAACATTACAGATAAACAGCAGTGGCAGCATAATGAGTTGGGGTGAGTTATCCTCCAATTGACCAGCTTTTTTCCAAGGTGAAGTAATTTATAATCAGGTCAAATTGAAATATAATCTGACTCAAAAGCTTCATGTGTCTCTTTATGGGTGAAAATGAGGAGGGATTTTATTTTCTAGCACCAAAGTAAGTCCAAACTTACTATACGAGAGGAAAACTAAAGATTTGTAATAGTCAAGCCAGAATACAGAACTAAATCCAACATAAAAAAGAGCCTTGATCTAGAGATGCTACTTATATCAGCTTAACAGTGTGCACACTCATGCAGTCAAGTTTATTTTGACATAATTTTACATGTGATTTTCTGACTTGAGGTGGTGTGCACTTTTGTAAGTCAGTCTTTGTGGAATTGGATCAAAAGTTTGGTTTACTTTATAACTTCTGTGCAGAAAGTCAGTCAATTATCAAACCCAAGCTGTTGCAGGAGCTTCAAAAAGTGTTTGATCAAACAGCAACTATATAAGAAACAACAAATCAAACAGCAGATGTGAGCAGTGCTGGACAATAAATCAATCACAATATACACTGAGATAGAAAGGTGATCCATATCAATATATAACACATCTAATAGAATATTCAATGATTTCACTGAACTCAGAGATAGGACAGGGGAAACCTTTGCTTCTTTCTGCTCCCTTTTTGAACAACTTGCATTTTGTTTTACATAATATTTTGCTGGAAATTTTAAGTTGTTACTAATGTTTTTTTTTCCCGTGTATTTTTTTTTATTGTTCGAAATAACGAGAGAAAGAAGTAAGGAAAGAAAGAACAATCTCCAATCCAAAACATGTAGGCAGAGGAAAGGCTTCAGTCAACCACTCACGGCCAGCGAAGCAAAGTTTGTAGAATCAACTAACTCACTCGCTCTTTGCTTACCTAACAACAACCTGCAGAGGAACTGGTGATTACCTTGCAACTACTTGTTGACTAACTTGCGCTGTGGCAGTTTAAGGTTTCTTCACCGTGCCTCATAACTGCTTAAAATAAAAATTAACAAAGTGGAGTGAAAACTCTGGATAAAACAGGAAAGATCACACCACCAGTTATTCAGATATTTAAAACAAAAAAACTAATAAATAATTATCAATATCGACTGATATTAAATGCTTGCATGGAGATATGTTTTTCAGCCATTTTGTAACTCATTAAAGATGCATCTTCCACTCCAAAAATATGCACCGAAATCCCAAGTCACAATCACAGTGAATGAAACTTTCCGATTGGACTCAAACATCCCGCTGGTCATAGAAAATAAGAGGCACTACCACACGTTGCACCAACATGAAGCTGTCACATACACATGAGGTAGGGAAACATTCACATGCAAACATAAAGAGAACTAAAACAGGAAATCACAAAGGTCACCCTGCAACCCCTTCCAACCCTCCCCTCTCCTTCACATATTTTTGTCGTTCTTATCCTCTGAGTCTGTCTTTGCTTGCATCATTGTGTGTTTTATTACACAGCTGTGGCAGTATTTACTGCTGATCAGGAAACTTTCCTTTTCCCTGGTTCTACTCTGTCTTAGGCCAGATCCAGATGCTGAGGTACAGAGAGGAGGGTTAGCTAAGTAAGGCGTGGTGGACTAGGTTAGTACCTGCCAGAGAAGGGGAGTGGACCTTGGCACAGGGGAGCAGGGGAAGGACAGAAGCCTCTGTAGTGGGCCTGGGGCGCCTTGCTATCCCCAGGTTTGTGGATGACACTGTAAATAGGTTCAGCCCTGCTGTGGGGTACAGGAATCACAGTGAACGGGACAAGTGTAGGACACAAAGAAAGCACACATACCAACAAAGAGCGACAAGTACTCATACGACTCATGTAGACAGATTGTACAAGAACATAACAAGAAAACATAACAAACATTCACCCGGGAAAACACACACGCACGCACACACCAATAAACAGGGGTAATACAACCCTCTCTCCCCAGAGCTCTGGGTTAAGCTGACTCAAAGCCTCGTGGGACAGTCCAATCAGGCCCTTATGAATGCTACTTCTGATCCACTAGCTGGATATGAAGTCAAAGGTTAAAACACAGTCATAACAAGTACGAGAAGTGACAAGGAGCTTCTCTCAGCACACAGCCACCGCACGCTGTCCAGCTATGATGTAGTGTGCACCGCCACGGCCCCAATGAGCTGACATTTGGAAATTAAGCCTGTGTTTCTTTTTCCATCGTCAAGCACTTCATGAGGATATTTAAAACTACTGCTCAAGCATGTATCATCAGACTCCCCATGACGATACATGTGAAGCAAAAACAAAATGGAGGCCACTGGCAACTGAAAAAAACCCAAACGAAACATAAAAATTCTCCCTAGAGACATGAAACAGGTGTTCTCCACAGCCATGTTACACCAGGCAGACACAACTATGATTGGTTCAGTTATTGTTGTGAAAGCATTAAAAAAAAACGAGGGAATCAGCCGTGGTGGGGAAAAACTGGAACTTACCTCGTGAAGTCTTCCTCCCCAAGCATGTGGCGGGGGACGGGCGAGTACCTGGACGGGGTCACCTGGGGAGGCGGATACACCGGCTTTGGCTCCATCGCCCCCATGTAACTGTGGCTGACGTGGTTGTCCACCATGGTGGGAAAGGCTGGAGGGAGGGCCAGGCCAGTAGGGGGAAAGAAAGAATGATTAAAACAAAAGCGCTACAGGAAGTAAAACACTCTGTGAAAAGTCAAGACGTATTTTAAAATAAAAAATACCATCTATTGTTGGTTAGGTAAAGATCATTTCACAAAATTGGCTAAAACTTTATTTGAAGCGGTGTGTGTATGTATGACATGACACTGTCATAAACACGATGGAAAATAATGACACTTTTAATACAAAGTTGCATTAAAAGTGTCTTTATTTACCGAATGATAAGTCATGACAACAGTTAAATATCCATTAAATTAAATGTTTATAGGTATTTGACATTAAGATCTTGGATTTTTATGTGATTGTCATTGTATTATTTGTAAAATGGTCTCAAAACAACATCATCATTTATCGCAATAACTTCTGGGACAATTTAAAATCCAGTAAAATTTGTTATCGTGACAGGCATTGCTATTATTCTAATATTTTTTGGCTATTCCAAGTGTTAAAACTTGTTTTTTATGCTAATTTGTCCAACTGTCTAAAATTTGGACAGATTCTCAAAATAGCCAATGCTCACACAGGACAAAGATAACGTTGCCCAAAATCCCAAAGGTCACAGATAAAAAAAAGATAAAAGAAATAAAAAGGCTCATATCACACCTAATGACATCTTTGCAATATTTACCAATATTATCGCCAATGCAGTCCTAGTGTAAGTAACTCAAGGTCATAAAATAACAGTTTTTATCAGTCAACGTCTCCAGACACACAAAACTTTCTCTAATGTTGTGCTAGAGCAATCTGAATTGAGATTATAAAAGTAACATTGTGAAGCTTCAGAGCAGCTGCTCTTGTGTGCAAAAATCTTGATCTTTACTTATTTACAAATTAATCTAATTCTCTATCAAAAAATTTTTAAGCCATTTCTTCTTGAGGGTTTGAAAAAAAGATACATTATAAGCCTGATGTGTATTTGTGACAGGATTTTTTTTTTACCTTACTCTATTAATATTTTCGTTCTTGCACAACATTTCTTTCTTTATCTGAATACAATCATTTAGAGCAAAGAATGCAACTGTACCAATTTCAAACAAATCTAAGTATTAGGAAGCAGATCTGGTTGCTGCTCTAAACCAAGGCTTTGCTGATTGTATTAAATGCAGTACAACAGGATGATGTGCAATGAAGACAAGACAGGAACATATTAAGAGAAACCACAATCAATGAGAGTCCCACTCTGGTCTCCTGTAACATTAAATCACTGCTCTGCTGAAATCTGAGAAGCTGCAGCTCAAAATCGTGGGCTCTCATGAGCAGGTGGGATGTGAGAAACTATCCACACTCTGTGGGTGGCAGAGAACTGTGCTTGTCGTTGCTGTGGGAGAAACTGTGTGTGTGTGTGTGTGTATACAAGCATTTACTACATGCAGTATGTGGGTGCCTGGGCATTGCAGTTTTAGCAGAGAACAGTGATCAACTAAAAACACAAAAACTTTCATGACAAAGATGGAAAAAGATGCAAGACGTATTGTGAAGGTCTTCTTTTTGGACAGGAGCGGAGGATTCAACCAACAAGTCGATTCAGATACGTACTGCTGGAGTAGTCTGGAGGGGCATACATGTCATTCAGATGCACGGGTCCCGGCTTGGCCACCTTGAGATAAACCATATCAGAGGTGTTCTTCAACGCAGCTACCGCCTCCTCATGACGCACATCCTGCAGCACGATGTTATTCACCTGTATGTGTTGGCCGCCAGAGAATAAGAAAAAATACGAGCTGTGACAACATCACAAAGCCATCAGCAGCTAAGACAGTAATGATTCATAGCTGGTAGGTAATATGAGAGTTCATTTCATCAGCAAACGGAAAATGAAATACATGCTGTGTTCTGTGGCATTGACCTAATTTAAAAGGAGCATTTCTAAAGTATTTCAGATGAGACCAAAGTTTTTCATTTATCCCTCTTATTATAGTTTTGCTATTACTGGAGCAAAAGGGTTAAAGATGCTACGGAGAATGCAGAAGAAGTCCAACAGTTCAGTTTTAAATTTCACATCCATGTGGATTATACTGATGAGACTCTGGGATTTCAGTGGGTAGCACTCAACTTTCTGCATATTCAGAAATTCAATGTACTGCTGGAAATGTTTCTTCAGTAGTTTCAGAATTTTAATCAAATGCATCTGCATGTCGAATGTGTTCATAGAAACAGTAAAGTTTCATGATCTTAATCTGATTTTTGTCTTAGTGAGTTAAAACAACTGATACTTTTTGACAATATAAAAACATAATACATAAAAAGTAAACTTATAAAATGTAAAATAATATATTTTTATAAATACAATGCTGAATAAATGCTTACGATTACTGACAAGAGTCAGTAATATTTGAAGCTGTTTTTCCAGACTGATTTAGCATTTCAATTAAAAAATGAATACTCAACACCGGATCCTAAAATATGATCAACTCCTGACATTTTACTAAATGTGAATGAGTAAAACCTGGAAAGACAGATTTATGAGCTTGTAAAACTGTGTTTGTAATAAACTAATTTGATACCGTATAATTTTTCAAATCCATTTTGAGATGTTTTCAAATATAGTTGTTTGAAAGCATGTGCAAAGAAGTAAAACTTCTATTATATAGATTTATTTTGTATTTGTATTATAAATTCTGGACAATTTTTGACGTATGTCCACAAAAGAAACTTTATTTTAGATTTCTTTAATGAACTCTAAATTACTAATAATAGTCCTCGCAACCATTTCCAGATTGATGAACGCCTGAAACAGTTTCTCTGAAATCACTGCTGACGTGTTTCGTCCTTGGCTATGTGTAACGAATACTCAAATGGTCAAATGCAATAGATCATCTGCATTCGCCTGCTACTTAGAAATATTATTCCAATAAAAGGAGTGAGCAGGGAATGAGCTTTTCATTTATTGCTTTGGGATTTTGTTTAGTTGTTTCGCATAAAATTTGTGATGTCATGAGCGTTTACTTTCACACGACACTCGGCAGTGCAATGAAAAAGTATTCCCCCTCTCAGATCATCAAACAAACTTTGGTATCAAGATAAAGGCAGTTTTTAAATGGAGGGAATTGTGTGAAAATATAACTACCTCCCTTGTTAAGGGAATTAACTGTAATCAACCACAGTTTATTGTATTTTAAGTATCTAACGACACCTGACAACTATCAGATCTGTAGAGTTTAAAACAAAAATGCATAAAACCTCTCTGGTGATATGAAGTGGGCTATAAAATCTCAAAAATGGCAGTTGGGAAAAGGAAACAAAGCCATTCCTAACATTGAGACTCGAGTAAACCACAGTGAGAGCCACTATTCAATAACAAAGAAAAACACAGAGGTCATTCTTCTCGAGAGAGGCAAGTCTACCAAAAATACTCCAAGAGTTCATCTGTGACTCAAGCAGGAGGTCAGAAAACAACCAAGAACATCTTGACCTCAACAAGCCTCACTGGTCTCAGTTAGAATCAGTTAGAGCTTTGATCACCAAGACTTTTGGGAAATAACCTGTGGACTGACAAGACGTAACTGGAGAATTTGTGGATGTCATGTGTTACGTGTGGTGAAAAACCCCCAAATAGTTCAGCAAAAGGGCATCAATGCTGACAATGACAAATGGTGTGGGTAGTGTGCTGGTCGGCAGCTGCTGTGCTGCTTGTGGAGCAGAAACATCTTGCCATATTGGTGGAACTGTAGCTGAAAATCTTGAAAGAAAATGTCTGGCTATCGGTTCCTGACCTGAAGCTCAAACACCACTGAGATATCCAGGAGAACAATGGTCCAAAATCTCCAAACAATTCCACCTCTGAATGCCTGTGAAGTGGCTTCATCAAAATCTGGACCGAAATGCATTTGAAACGCTTTGGCATAAAATTAAACAGTTAGTTTATGCTCAAAACCCTTCCAAAGTGACTGAATTAAGAAATAAATTGAATTCTCATTTGAAGTTTTATTTTACTTCCTAAAAGGAAATTAAATGGAACTAATATTAATTCAAATTTCTTCAAAAGTTATTGTAGGTGAAGATGGATGTGGCCAGGAAAGCTCTCCTTTAGCAGTCTGCATTACATTGAATTTGAAGAAGCCTCTGACTAAAGACACTCTGTTTTTCAAAGACATTCTCATGAAGATAATCCAGAGGTTTGTCTATAATTGTATTAATTTTATCTAAAATACTTTTATTACATTTATATCAAATTGAAAGCAAAAAATAAATAAATCTGTGAGAGTATATTCACCTAAATAAATAAAATCTGGTTAACAGCCAATGAATCTGATTATGTCATAACAGGTAGGAATTTAGATTTAAAACAAGCTAGATTAAAAAATAATAATAAATTAAGTATTTTGGTTTGAAATGCATATGTGTGAAGTGTATTCTCATACAGCTAGCAGTCGGTCTCCAGTCTGCAGTCGTCCATCTTTCTGGGCGGCTCCTCCTTCTATGATCTTGGTGATATAAATGCTATTGTCTCCAGGAATATGCTGGTTCCCAATTCCCCCAGCAATGCTGAATCCCAGTCCTGTTCGGGACACACAAAGCGGGACAGTCACCGCATGTACAAATAATCAGCCTCCCAAGAAAATGTTGTTTATGTTCAAGAGTCTGACCTTTGGGGCCCTTCAGCAGGTTAACCTCCAGGATGGTCTCTGGGGGGGCCTGCCTCCGTCGGACCAGCAGCCGCACCACAGGCCCCGCCTCCTTCAGGGCTTCCACCGCTCGGCTGTGAACCACCTCGGAGACGTCCACTTCGTTCACACGCAGGACGCAGTCGTTGACCCTGAGAGAGGTTCAGATGCACGTCACAAACACCCAGAGGTGGACAAAGTAGCACTAATTTAAAATATTTTTACTCAAGTAAAAGTAGAAAGAAGCCAGCCAAGAAATTACTCATGTAAGAGTAAAAATGTATTTCGTAAAAAGTTTATTTAATATTTCAGAATTACATTATCAGACTGACTAAAATATAAATTTAAGTGGACTTTTTATTTTTTATTTTAAGGATAAAAATGACAATAATTTATATAAGTAACAAAAAATTACAAAATCAGACAAAAGAAACTTTTTCTAAATCAGTTTCTTTAACAAAAAAACTTATGAAACTTTAACAGAAACTGTCTGGGGAATTACTGGTTAAAACATGTTTGTTTTTCATTCTATCCATAGAAAACTCAGAAATAAAATTATTCAAGTAGAAGTAAAAAGTACAGCACAATTCTAAAAGTTTAAAAAAGTTACTCAAGTAAATGTAATTGAGTAAATGTAACTAATTACTACTGTGTTTGATGCATAAAAGATAGGGAGATCAGAGTAGGGCTCCTATAATCAGAGCACTCCATGTCATAATTATTTACATCTCATAAATTTTCTGTTTTTTTTTTTTTTTGCTTTGTTTTTGTTTCTTGCATTGAATCATAACTTTGAGGAAGCACACAGAGCCAAGAGGCAGAGAGCTGAAGAAACTCTGCCTCCCACACAGCGCTGGCTGGCGGGACACGATGTTGGTGAACGCTAAAGATGTGAGCAGAAAGGTTAGAGCAGGAGGAGGATGGAGAGAGCAGCTGAGCTCAAAAAGAGCAAAAAAATATGAACGAGGAGGGGAGGAACGAGGTGAACTCACCCCAGTCGTCCGTCCATAGCAGCTGCTCCTCCAGGGATTATCTTGGTGATGAAAATCCCCGGATCATCGGGAATGTGGGGATTGTCTATTCCTCCAGCAATGCTGAAGCCCAGGCCGGAGTTCCCCTGAACACAAGTTGGGATTGTTTTCATTAGAATGCAGAAGAAGAAACAGCCCACATCATGTTGGCTTGTGTAAAAGTATTCATACCACTATAATTGTTTTCACAGGTTTGTCATATTATGTGGACCCCTGAACGACACTGGGGAAATTTTTGCTTCTGTGTTGCCTCACAATCAATATTGCATTCCACTGCAGAAACACAAAATGTTAACAAGTATTTTGGTCTAGTTTCTAGGACAAATATCTTAGTACACTTCAAATACAACAAAACTAACTTACAAGCAACTTTTCAGCAAAATATTGGGACTTCTTTTAAGTCAAAAGTTTCTTAATTTTGACGTTTCTACTGGCAGATTATTTCCCTTATAAAATGGGGAAAATTTCTTGTCATAAGTGAAATAATCTACCATCAGATCTAGTACTTTTAAAATCTATATTCAACAATTATGGACTTAAACCAACTGGAAAGTTTACTTCTAAGTCAGTTTTTTCTTACTTCAGGTGCACTAAGATAGTTTCTCTAGAAACTTGATCAAAAATACTTGGCAAAATAGATTTATTTTTCTGTTTGCAGTGCTTGCATTCCTTTCCAATTCATTCTCAAATACACCTCAGTCTATTTTGTATGCAGTCACAGTGATGACGAATGTTAATTTAAAATTCTACATACACCTTTAAAAGATCTTCAGTGAAAACATGTTTATATTCTTAACACTTGTACAGAAAACTGATTGAAATTTGATCTTTTAACAGCATTTTGTAGTATCTTTCGATGGAGATGGGATTGCACATGAAAACGTCTCTTTTTCAGATTTTAATATTGCAATGTCAAAATAACTCACAAATAGTCCGAATAGTTTTGATTTCTTTCTTTACTCATTTTCTCCTTTTTAAATTAAATTTTAGCTGCTTTACTTCTGTATTTTGAGCATCAATTTGTTGCATTTATCCAAAAAAAATAAATAAATAGAACTTCAGATAATTTGCAAACAAGATATTAACATATATGACATTATATTGCAACAAAAATACTTTCAATATTCAAGATGTCGCATGAATTGATGACTAAATAAATTATTGCGAGGGATCGTAAAGTCTTGTATGGGAAAAAAGCCACAAATTTAAAGGATTTTAGTGGGAACACAAGCAGTGACAGTGGAAGAAATATTATGAATGCTTTTCAAATATTTTTATCAGTAATAAATTGAAAAGTGTGTTTATTTGTATCCAGCCCCCCCTGAGGCAACACTTTGCAGAATCAACTGCAAGTCTTTTGGGGTATGTCTGTCTACCAGCTTTAGATCAGGAACCTGAATGTTTCCACAGTTTGTGTCTCTAACTAAGGATGCCTTGATGTAACCTTTTCACTTCCAATATGTCAATATTGCAGTTTTGAGCGTTGGCTGATATTGATACTGACCTGACATGATATCAGCCCGGCTCATGCGTAGTTTTATTACTTATTTTGTAGTGTGTAGCATGCATTTTTCTACAAAAGGAGATATTTTAATCTCTTTACACCATACAAATAGCACATATAGCCCAGTTAAAATAATTTCTGTTGCATGACTGAGTGCCTCTAGGTCTCTGAAGTAGACCGACACTGCCACCTCCAGCTATTCTCATCCCTTTGACTACACAGGCCCCATTCGGATCCATGGGGCTGAGGCACAGAGCTTTGTCTTCCAGCCTTGGCCGCAGAGATAGGCAGCAAACAAGACAGCTGAGAAAAGACTTCACTTTATTATTTTCTATAATTAATGAGAAACAGTCGCAACAAATTAGGACAGAGTGGGGCTGAGGCTTCACAGCAGTGCTGCTCCAGAGCAGGAAGGAGAAGCCGTACTGGACCACCGAACGTTGCACAACCACAGACCCTGAAAGCTGCAACTCTGCATGCATGCAGAAACGCCACTTTAAAGTAAACGGGCCAGAAATATGCTGTGCAATTATTCAGAGGTGCATCAACATGGAGGTGGAATAATCAGTCGAAATGTAAAGCTCCCCCACTTCAAGTTGAACCGCTCCTGCTAAGAGCAGCAGATAGGAGAGCACTTTTCATTTCTCCTGTCTGCAGACGGACTATGTAAAAAGACTTGCCTCTTACTCGCACCTAAGAGTCATTTACTGTACTGATGTATGATCAGCAGCTCCACAAACATGGTTTTCTTCTATGTGTACACACACGAAGCTTTATGTGAGTTCTTCAAGTTCATTTGACAAAGAATGAGCTGCGTGCTACCACCTAGTGGGGAGAAATCCCTTATGCAGAAAATGCATCAAAGAATAAAATATAACTTACCCTCTCTAAAATGATTTCCTCATATTTATACATCCCGTCGCTTCCGTTTACCTGTTGAAACAAAAACAAAACCATCACAATAAGGATGATGAATATTTAGATCTTTCAGAAAAATAAAACAGAAGCAAGAAATGTGGGGTGAAATCTTTAACAGCATCTGTTTGTAGAAAGAACCAGAAATAATTTATTTACAAATCAGAGTGAATGCATTCTCCAAATGGTGTTACCAACAGACAAAATGGCATATGTGACAATGGAGAACGCGCTTTAAACAGAAGGCATTCACACTATGAGGGGGAGGGCTTTTCATCCACACACAAACATACAAACACATCCATGCAGAACAGAAAGTCAGAGTAAGACGCATCCTTACTGTACAGCAGACAGCGAGAGAAGATACTTACATAAGGGCCTGCATCTAGTGAGTCTGCGTTGACAATGATGGGGGGAGGGTTGGCCTGTGAATATGAAGAGAGGCACATTAGCTCGGTGTGCGAGGCTGTAAGAGGCACAGACATAATGAAGTATGCACAGTAGTGTTTGGGATGCCATAGGAACCGCCAACGAGGCTCGGTGGGACTGCGAACGCAGGAAGGGACGAGTCAGAGGAAGGTGTGAGGACCGAGAATGAGGACTGGGCTGGAGAGACCGCCGTTTATTACCTGCCACAGCCAGATGCGCTGCACACACCTCATAAAACAAACCCGCTTGTGTCTCAGCTTACGGTCCGACACGTTTACATGAGTCAGATACATGACTGATATTGTGATTAATTGTGATAAAGTCACCTTTCTCACCACCTGGTCACTAAAACCTTTATCAGTTATGAACAGCAAGCCAAACATATTATTTGCATGTCCCACAAAACAAAACAGATGACCAAATATTCCATTCAAGCACACCTTTATGATCACAGTTCATGTTTAATTGAGCTCTAATGATTCAGTGAGTAAAACAAAATAAAAATATTAGTTTTTATTGATAAACTAATCCTTCAAACTGTCATTTATTGATATTTTATATTGAACAATCCACCATTTATTGAAGCTTTTACTTTTACTGTCGCCTACTTGACAAACATTTTAAGGTTTTTCCACTGAATGACATTTTAAATGTATGGTAATAATTCTGGTGGTGCAAATTCTGGTAATAATTGTAAAGACTTTTAACTGTCTAACAGTGCGTGTAAAGGAAATCTATAGTTGGAAAAAAACGATTTAGTCGGTAATGATTCAGTTGAATTAATATTTATACATACAGTTTCAAACACATATGGAAGTACAGCGCCAGTGTTAATTTGGAAGATGTATTTGTGGATTTAACTTCCTGGCTTGATGTTTTGAGATGTTTCTTTAATATTTCCACTTAATTCTCTTTTCCCTCAAGCAGTAAAACACCCCATAGAATGATGCCTACAACAGAGATAGTGTTCTGAATCGGAGTCTTCCACATTTTCCTCCGACTCTAACAATGGTCGACACTTCAGAGTTTTGTTTCATATTGCTTAGGTTGTTATCCCTGAGCGAATTTCTAAACTGTACATTGTACAGTGCAAACCAGCTGACCAAAAACAGTGAAGCTTTTGAAATGACTCATTTTTCAGACACCAAAAAACATTGACTTAAACAATTTAAACAAATGGGTGGTAGTTTAAGCAGTTGGCCCTTTTTTGTGGAAACCAAAATATACGTATAATAACATGCAAAACGTGAATTTTGCATTGTATGTCCCTTTTAAGACTTGGGAATGGAGAAGAATTAAAAAGTTATTGTTCTCTTTATTTTGGCAGTTGAAATAAACCTAAAAAGTGTCGGTTTAAATAGTGCATGAAACCATCTGTTTTCAACAACATTCAGCTTTTGAACTGGTTGAAGAGTAAAAAAACAAAAGTATTGGGTAATTTTTTTTCAGTCAGGAGGTTGAGACCATTTAATTGTCTCGACTGGATCTTTTAAGGTCATCAATATGTCACACTGTGATGAATCTTTTGCTCTGTTGTTATTGTTGAAACTAACCAAATATCAGATTAATCAACAACCCTCATTCTTAGTCATACCCCTGCTGGTAACCTTTATTTAATTCTGCTCATGAAATTTTAATTTAATGCATAATATGCTGATTTTTTTAATTGTAATTTCTAAACCCTCTGTTAGACTCCTTCCATTTTAGTCTTAAAGATGATTTTGGATGAAGTATAAATGTTAATCAGAGTTTTTGTATTAATTTAAAGGCACCGATTTTTCACTTTCAACACGCAATTTCATCTAAAATCAAGTTCAGAATATAAACTTTAAAAAAAAAACAAAGAAACAATGACGCTATCAGCTTGGCTCCATTGTGCCACCTGGTGTTTGTGTTCCCGTGTGGGGCTGCAGGTTGACCGCAGAGGGAAGCAGCAGAAATGGAAGCAGAGGAGAGTGAGCTGAATACTGGATGATTTAAAAACAGTTTACATCTTCCAACTGGTTAGACTTTTCCTTGACTGATTGGGATGTTGTGCTTAATGAGATGCTGACAGCATTGCCTGGGGATGATGGGTCTCTGGAGGTCCAAACCAGATATGTACCGATCTTTCCTTAAGTTTTCTCCACTGCATTCAATCTTACCCTTCACTTTCAGTAACATTGTAAGTCATTTCTATACATATGGATTCTCCTGGTAAAGATAAGTAAAAATGCTTAAAATAATGTAATCTTACACTGCAGCAGCATACTCAACACGCGGAGCAAAAACGTACATTTATTTACGAGGGAAAAAATATCCCTTCATGAATTTAACAACAATCAGCAGTTCCTCCGTCTTTGCCAACCACAATCTCCCTAAAGACAAATAACTTTTAAAAAGCATATGTATGCAGCTCTGGAAAAAAATTAAGAGGCCACCTAAATTATCAGTTTCTCTGATTTTGCTCTTTATAGGCATATGTTTGAGTAAAATTAACATTGTTCTTTTATTTTATGACATGTCACTAAAAGTCCAAGCAACATTTTTTTATTTATTTGCAGAAAATAAATGGTCAAAATAATGAAAAAGATGCAGTTCTTCCAGATCTTAAGTAATGCAAAGAAAACAAGTTCATATCTATTTATAAACAACAATTCCAGAACAGAAATCAATACTTGTTGGAATAACCAGGAGGTTATCAAAGGGGTTCTGTGCCGTGCCCTCTTCATTTTTTCCAGTTATGTTTTTAAAGTTGATCAAAGGGTCTACAAGATTTTAAGTAGTAATGGACAATATTAATCCACTTTTAGTTTCAGAGAGGTAAAATACGAAGTGACACAGAGGCTCAACGCTTTTTGCCACTCTTCAAATTGTAAAAGACAAGGGAAATTAATTGTTAATTGAATTTATACACACAGTTTGTCCCTTTTTTCCTTCTTCCACTTTGTGCACAAACAAACAATTGTGTATCAAGTTATTTTGCATATTTATTACAACCTTTACATTAAACCTTTTCAACTTTTCAGATCTCTTTTTTGGAAAGGATTATGTCATAAAATAAGATGAATCAGGACCCCTGATCAATCCAAACAACCTTGGAGTGATGTTCTGCTGCCAGATATTATTTGTTCAAGATTCATAATCGTATTTTATTTAGAAACCAAAAAGGACAAAATGACTTTAGAAAACCGCTTCAGGTAACGGCTATAGTCTACTGCTACAAATAAATATGACACAGGTTTCTTATTATTTACAAAGCATTTTATGGACTTCTTCTCTGGCAGTAATTGTGGAAATTTCTTTTTTTCAAACAGTTCAATATAACTTTTTGAATGATCTCATTTTGTTTTCAAGAGATGTTTTCAGTTACACTTAAAGGTCTGCTTTCCTCCATTAATGTCAAATACTCATTAGGTCCAGACAATTAAGCAAAGCAAACTATGCAACATGAGTTTCAGTTGATTGAAATAAAATTTAAAGCACATTTGGGATAACATAAAGTAAACGACAATTCATAACATCTGTCAGTGAAGTTCAGCCAGCTAACATGAACTCAGATATTAAAGCTAAAGACAATTTTGATCAACCAAAGTTCATCACTGTGCTACTTTCTCCCTCTACTCTCCAATTTGCATTATTTGCAGTTTATTAACTTCAAACTTTCTTTTCTCTCTCAGTTTTTTTTCTGCTCAATGACTTGATGCAATCTGCTGGACTTCCTACGACAAAAAACTTTGAAAAATAATTTGAATAATTGGAACGTAAGGCTGATTGAATTGAAAGGACTTTTACGATAATGTTTTGTAAATTGGCGGTGTATAAACAAACTGAAATTAATTTAATCAAAATTTATTTCTAACTCAACCTCTTCCTGCACACACCTGAAAATAAATACACACTTTCTAGATGAAGCACATTTTGCAAAAAAACAAAACAATAAATGTTTTAATAATGTAACTTAGAGACACTGAGAATGTAAAAAATGTTTCTATGCTCAACTAAAGACTGAAAACATTGAATGAGATCAGTGTCATCAGTGTATGCATATTATCTTACAGTGCTTACACTGTGTTCACTACAGGATGATTCACACTATTTACTGACTGGACATGTACAAAAGCCATAGAAAACTTTAAAATAGTTCAAATGGAGCGATAAATTAATTCAGTGACCACTTCTGCCACCCAATCAGCACTAGAAGTTGCATTAAAAGCCAATTAAAAGTGTAAACTTTGCATTATTTGTTCAATAAGGATCCTTTTAATGCAATATGTTAAGATTTGCATTAAAACTCCATTGAAAGTGTCATTATTTGCCGAAAGACACTTCATGACAGCCGTAGTAAACATTCATAAAGATTCCTTCATGATCATGCCTGTTGTTATGCCATGTTTATGACAATGTCACATCAGTCTTATGCACAACCATTCAAATAAAGGGTTACTACTTCAATCGATGGCTGATTAACAGGGTTTTGCTGAATTGTCATCATCTGAATGGTGTGTGCTGAAGCAGAGGAACATGTAAAACATGCAGGTCAGTGTGTCTTGAGGACCAGGGTTGGGAAACACTGCTCTAAGAGATGTCATCAAAGGTTTGCTATAAGATTTTCCTCCATTTCTCCAACCTTTCCCTCCTCTCTGTGTGGAACTTCCTGCTTCTGAAAGTAGCTGTCAATGGAAATGTGGGGTTGTAGGTCTGGCCTGCTCCACTCAGTGGTGAAACGCAAAGATTGCAGACAGCTGCGGATGCCTCCCTCCCCAAGTCAGCACAATCGGGTCTTCGCTGTAATCTGCATATGGACTAACAGATGGTCATGTCTGCAGTTGTGCTTGTACATTTCGGTAAAGACCCCAATCGGATGCCCCCAAAAATCCCAAAGTGATTTTAATCTTGACAACATCTGTAGCAGAAGAGTTTATGACAGCTGGTATTTTAAATCAGAACAATAAAACCAAGTTGATACGGGGAAAAAAAGAGAGATGAAACAACGCCTCAGGGCTACACAGGAAAC